AAGTAGAGCAGGCAAGTAGCCAAAGATAGGCAGGGAAGGTAAGGGCAACTCAGTGAGGATTAATGAGGTACATGGACGAAATCGGGACGACAGTCGAGGAAAGGGAGAGAGCCAAAATATAGAATCCACGAGAGAAACCAAATGAACTAAGTGTAACTATGAGCAATTCGCAGTGCAGAAAAGTACTCACCATCCTGGTGAAGATAATAATGGCGGTGAAGCAAACCCAGCAGACCCTTAGCAGCTCTTTGAAACGTCTTGTGCAGTCCGCGATTGCTCCACAGACCAGAGACGCCCCGACACCGACCAGTGCAGCCAGTGCAGTAGGGTAACTGAACTATTGTTCTCAAGGTTCCTGTCTATCAAAATTACCAAAAGAATTGTCTCGTGACCGGTAGTGTGACAAGACTTATCTGGTTCAAAGAAATTGCGGGAGTTTTCATATTTCAAAATTACAAGCGTTCCAGCGGAGGGTTCAATGTTGATCAGATTTATTTTCGCGACAAACCTACGCTGCATTCATAGCTGCGGGTATCCCTTACCTTGCTAGGGAGGAGCATTATGCGTGGAATGTATTCTTTTTTGAATACCCACCTAAAGATTAGCTCAGGATGTCCTAAAGGCACAGTTCACAAAGAAAATGGTTTTCGAGATAATCCCTTGTGATGAATCTGTGGCCCCTGTATAGCATATGTGGCGCTGTCAAATCGACAAGAGATCTAGATAGGCCAGTGGGTCTGAACAGCACTGTTGAGGATCCACCGTTCACAAGGGACACTCACGAGTTCTAATAATCGTCGTGACCTTTCGCTACAGCGTAGCGAGTTCTAGACAAATTTGGCTCAATGTAGTCAGCGTTTTGCGCAATTGCAACAACTGAAATCTCGTCCAAATACCCCTTCTATGCTAATTCCGTCATGGTAATCTCGTACAACCCCGATTTTCACTACTTTTAGAAGGCCTTCTTTCTCACGTAGTGGGCCGATTTTCTAGCTTTCTTCGCCACCGATGCACTACTCCTAACCAATATTTCCGCTTATTGACTTGAAAAGGGCACCTCTGAATTATTGTAAGCTGTGGCTTTAACTGACAAAAGTCAGTTTTGTGGCTGTTTCATGAGCGGCTTTTGACTATTCCACAAAATCATTTAGGTCGATTTTGGCGGAGAGTCTATGTGCAGGATTGTTTCTCAGGTAATAAAACATCAGGTGAGATTAATAGGAGCAGGAAAAGCTCACCCGTAGAGATTGTAGCCTTGTTCCGTGATGATATCAGACATGATCACCATAAAGCCCCACAATTCAGCAAATGCAAGTCCAAATGTGAACATTTGAATAACGAATTGTTTATTCCTGCAAAGATGGATTTTGAGTGATCAACTGTGTTTTAGAAATAACTGAAGATGGCAAAGCAATAATGACTGCGCTAATTATCGTCTGCCCTTTCGGTAGAACAATTCTTTTCCCCGTCGTTATGAACACCAATAGACCTAGAGCCGCGTGAGTCCACAAAACTTCTGTAAATTATGATACGAATCAAGGTAACCAAAAACGCTGGACTGGAATATGGCCGGTCGCCTTGTGCGCTCTATGTGTGCGAGTCCAGTGAGAGAAGAAATGTAACCAAGTTTCTGGATAAAAGTCGAAGCCGTGGAGTAAATGCGTTAGAGCACATTTGCTATTCTTGAGCGTAAGAAGGCATTGGAGAATAGGTGAAAGGGGCAGATTAGTCACTCACTTGAAACAGATGGCGATCGCATTCCAGAAGGATGGAGCGTTATTTGAATGATCTGCAGACGATGCTGATGGGGGTGTCGGGGGTGAACCACGTCTGATGAAGAGGGACAGAGCGAAAGCGATGGTCGTTATTATGGCCATGCTGGTATTCTTAAAAAAATATCTAACAGACTTGAAAGATCTCACAGCATGAGGTAGCATAATTAAATATTTCTTCTTCAGATTCGTGCAAAGTATTTCAATTTCTTCACCTGAAGGACCGAATTTTTTGACAACTCTTTGTCCAGCCTACGTTCAAAGGCAAAGTTCACGATAAAAATGGTTGCTGGGATTTTCCTATAGTATAAATTCGAGCGTCCCCCTTATACCATACCTGTTGTTATAAGGAAGGGTCAAAGATTGTAACGTGTGAATGCCACACCCATTGTGAACGAGTTTCAACAGCTTTGTCGAGGCTGCACTATCTCCGAAGACTCCCATTCAGGATGTTCAAAGAGCAATGGGAGCAAGTTGAATCTCGTCCAAACACTACCGTCACGGTGATCTCGTACAACCTCCACTTTCACTAATTTTAGAAAGCCTCGAAGGATTTTCTCGACGTCTTCGCCATCGATGTCTCCCTACATCAACACTTCCGCTTTTCAACCTAAAAAGGACACCTCAAAATTATCGTGAACTCTGCCTTTAGAGGCTTTTGTCTTACTTGGGATCTGAAGAAAAGTATTCAATAATCTGGGACGCACAGTTCAGGAAGCAAGTGTTAGAAGTGAAAGCAAATACAGAGATTCTCGGGAATCAAACTTGGTCCCCCTCTGGTGAGCAGTGAATAAAAATTCCATGGCAAAGGAAAACCACGATTTCTGCTGAGCTAGGGCTTAACGATAACAGTGGTGTCCCACATCCAAATGAATGGCGCAAAACTTGAGCCTGCATAAAACAACTCTGAAACAACTTATGTCAAAATACTTACAAATTCGAACATATGCCAAGATGAGCGATGAACCATGGTGTTACCACTAAAATACAGGGACGGCATGATGGTGCCAAGGACAACACCAAATGGATTTGCTGAAATCTAATATCTAAGGCGGCAAAGATAAACAATATCAAAACGTAAAACAATAATAAAGTCAACTGATGTTGATCAATACTATCAAAAACCGCTACAGATGTACGGAATTCGAGTCTGCCGCAAATCCTAAGGGCACAAATAAAAATTTTCGATGAGATTTTCCGTTGGGATAAATCTGTGGCCTCCTCGTATACCATACGTAACGCTGTCAGGTTGTAAAACTGTCTAGTCGTTATATGGGCTGAAAGATCGGCCCGTGTGTGCGCATGTTAACGGCATTGAGAAGGCTGCACCACTTATTCACAAAAAAATCTATGTAGAAAATTTCAACAACTAGCCATGACCCACAGCGACCGTGAAATTCTCAATGTAGTCAGCTCTCTGCGCAATGAAATCTTGTCCAAATACCCCTTCCGGGTGTGGTGCGATTCACGCATCAATTTAATGAGGTCATCGGATAAAACGCCCTAAACCATTATGCCTACCATCATAATGGGCGAAACAAGAATCTATAAGTGAAATAAGTAAAAAAATGACCAATATGCACGTCTACAGGAAAAATGTATTTTCTAGGGCCAAAAATAGGAAGTTATTCTTATTTTGAACGTTTAACAAGTAAACTGTTGAACTATGAAGTGAATTCTTAATCACAAAGGGGCTTTATTGCCATAGTAAAGAGATTTGCTCTAATTCATGGTCAAGCCGTGGATTACTGCAAATCTTATTTGGTCCATCTCCACAGAAAGGTACTGAAGCGATGCTGCGGGCGCTAGACCTCTAATGGGGTCACGCGTGAAACGCCCCCAACATCACTGTGATTTGTACTGTCGAAATCACTGTAATTTGTGCCTTTAAGAGGATTGAACACTACAAAAGTTCTGCTCTCGTTAAACCAACCAATAAATGTAAGCACGTTTGCCAGCGATCGTTGACGATCTGGGAACCAAGTTTCGGCGATTTTCGATGGCAATACCAAGAAAAACGCTTGAGCGGAGGCGGCAATGATTGAACCTCAAATCGAAATTATAAAGTATATGTCGTAGAGAGACGAATGTCATGACAATCACGTATCCGATAACTGCAGCTTCCATACGACTAATCTGTCTTCAAACAACAGCACTCGCCTCTTGTTGCACAACTACACAGCATCTCATAACGGAACAATACTACTCTCCCCAGCTCGCTAATGGAAATTTGAGTGAATTCAGCTTAGCAAAAATAGGAATAACAAAACGGCATATTTTGGGTTTAGTGAATGGCTACTAAGGCAGATGTATTTATTGTCTGACAGAAGTATTCTTTACAGTGATCTGATTCGCATGACTGAAATACAGCCTTTAAGATTACCCACGATCGTGTCAAATCTGTACATAATTTTTCAATTGATGAATTGAACGCTTGCAATTACAAGAATTTCGCTGCTGGTCGGAGACATTGAAAGATTGGGATTCTTGGACAAAATTAGACTCGAGTCAAGAAAATGTACCTGTATGGAGCAGCACTTGCCGAGAAATAGAACTCTCAATTAGCGGGACTGAAGAGATCATTCGAAACAGCGAACCCACAAAGTTCAAAGTTGTACCGCAAACAATCTGTAAAACCGGCATATCCGCTATCCCACGAATCACATGAGGAATCTTCTCTAAAATGGGCAAGTGCAATGAACCAATCCCATACATTCAGGACGAGTTCAGCAGCCCACTGAACCAGCTGCTTCCCCCTTCAACGATGTAAGACGAGCATGTGTGATTTCTGAAGTAACAATATTTTATTCAAACATACCGATAGCCGTATTCCGTAGTTGTCTGTAACGTACATGCCACCGATACCAGTAACAACAGCGACGAGCTGAAAAACATAAAGTTCTAATGGTTGCAACGCCAAGAAAAGTAGGATTGAAACCCCATCCATCCGCAGTGGTCTCTGTGCTTGCCCCCTACCCGGTGAGAGTATTTGCACATACTAATGAGAACTTTGTGCAAGGCCACGGAAAATCGTCCGCATTTGGGTGTGTCATACAGCCTATAAAACCTCTGAGCCTTTACAACGCCCTACCTGCCACTTTTGCAACCTGACTGTGCCACTCATGGCGTACAAGGGAGCCACAGTTTTCTCTTAGAGGGATGAATCACAAACCATGTTCATCGTGAACTGTGCCTTTGAAGCAAATTCGAGCAGGCCCAGGTGTATGGTTGAGAGCATCCTAGCGAATGTGTAGGCTCTAATCGATTTACTAGTGAAGAAGAGATCTGACGGAGAAGCAGAGAGCTATGAACATTGACTCTTAGCTTCAGCATGTATTCGCGGCGAGCGTAAGGAAAGGTTTTTAGGGAGCTTTTGAATGTTCGCTTCATCTCCTAGGGTGTCATCAGCTTTCGCAAGTTAGTATCATCAACTGGGAGGTTCGGTAGGGGTGAACTACTGAATCAGGAATGAATATGATAACGAATTTTTTCATAATATGTGTTGATTGTGATGTCTTACGGTACTTTGAGCGATTTGCGTCTGTTGTTGGAGAGCAATGTGTAGCCATTGGAAACCCTTACATCCATTGGAAGCTAGGCTCGTATAAGCAGCCATGGCTGCCGAATGTCAGGAGAACGGAAAAGAAGCTTATGGACATGTAACTGAAGGCCACGTTCAAAAGTCATGTTGCCCACTGATGCGCTTGGGCCAAAACTTGCCACTCAGTCTGGTGCGCAGTTTCTCTATCATTGTGTTTTCTACCAACTTGCAGTTGTTTGCGTTGCCATACTTGTTGCAAATGTAACCTCTTGACCAGGAGAGCATTATCAACAGAAACCTGTTGATATGGACACAGTCAGACTGCGATAACTAGAAATTTCTCTCCAAAAATGACATGTGCTCACCTGAAATATTTGATTAGTTATGAAGGCAGCCGTACACTCGGTAGTTTCGCCATCACAGTAGAACTCGCCCGTCTCCTCCGACAACGTGATGTAACTGAGCCAAAGCTTGAAAAAATTAAAATTAAAATTAGGTCTTTTCTTCTCGAATGGCTTCTCCATAGTTCGGACATTGGCGTTGTAAGTGTATCTGCGGAGCGTTTTATTGTCACATTCATTCCTCTTCCATGCTATTGCTTACCAACTTTTCTTTGTATCCACTTGCTGTTTGAATGCTTATTTTTTCAATCTGTAATAGTAGTTTCTTTTCATTGGCGCACGCATGTGCAATAAATAAATAAATAATTTCCAAAGCTCTTCTAGCATTCGAAAATGCAACTTGTTTCTCTTTGGTGTACTCATCTCATGGAAGTCACTCCTGGTCACACTTTGAAAGGCCTGCCATAAATTCTCGAAGAGGTTAGCTGAATCCCTCTTTCCGCTTAGTGAGCCCCATTTTCCGACGAAGTCCGCCTCATTCATCAGGTCTCTGAGGTGAAATAAACGGTAGCATTGCTGTAAGAAAGATACTACAGGAAAGGCGTTACCACTAGGCCGCTTCATATTTTGGGAAACTGCTAGGTTCATCCTTTAGGAGTGATACCGCGAAAATTTCGATAAAGTTGAAAGCATCAGTGCAGTAGATGCAGACATGAAAGAGCCCCAATTCTTAATACCTAGATTGAGCATAAAAGTAGATTCATCTTTGTTCGTTGATAGTAGTTCCACTGCCCCGGTAAAAATCTGCATTAATCTCATGAAATAAAAGTGATCTCCCGGCGGAGAAGCCGTAGGACCACGTACATTAGATTTTCTTTATTTCCATTTCTATTCCATGACCTCGATAATTGAAGGCCATACTTATGTCATTATGCAAAGAACACTCGGAGACCCTGCCCGGTCTTTACAATTGAATTTATAAGACTCCGATATAGAGTTCGGGTCTTTGAGCAAGAGGGAGGGGAACAAACAAAGATTTTGTAGAGACCCCAAACTGTATTCAACAACATCTCTATAGGCGAAGTTCAACGACTTTTTTTGCGCCAGACCCTAGATAGAACAAAGCTGAAGGTCACTCAAGCGATGCAGCGAAGGCATCAGTATGATTTTTATTCCATGGCCAAGACCAGCCAGAAAATAGCTTGATAAGATTTCAGCAATCTAAGTTTGTCTGTGGTGCAGTACAGCCTAGAGGGTTACCAATTATAACTCAAATGGCTCAAAGTGTGAGCGCCCTTGAAAAATTAGGGAGGGATTATGAAGTAGGCGCTTTAATACACACATGCGTAAAACCATCCTCTTCTCAGGTTTAGAAACTGACTAACTTATGGAAAAATCAATGATATGCGTTACTTTTGTTTGTTCTCATTTCCATTTCTTTTTGCCGCGGCTACACAAAACTGCTATGTTCCACATGGCAGTTGGCCTAAACTCTCCTTCTACAGTGCGTTTCATAGGTATGAGATCACTTTCGAATTTGGTATTTACAAGGTAAGAAGCCAAGCACATAGCTTTCTGGCCCAACCACCAAATTCGCAACCTTCATTAATCCCCACATACGTGCTTACGTTTGCTCAACTTTATATTAACATTTGTAAAGATTTTTTCGAGTTTTTTTTTGCCGTTTCATTAGTATAGGATCACCGCGACAGCACGAAGGATTCGTAATCTAGTGCAGCATGCACTTGGGGGGATCTGTATAGGAGAGAATGTGTCGTAGATATGTTTGAAAGCAATATGCACCTTCACTCGAGGAGAAGAATCGTGAGATCCCTCAGCTCCGATCAAAGATATTTGAATACTACAGAGCCCCCACGTGGTCATCATTCTTCAAAACAAAAAGCACAAAATCGAAAATTTCGTGATACAGGGTTCAGTACGAAGGCAATTAGGAGGAGCATTGTGAGATCCCTCAGCTCCTCAGACAGTAAAGATACTTGAAGACTACAAGCCCCCACGAGGACAGGATGCTCGCGCAAGCTCACCGCGAACGTTGAGAGGAGAATGCTAAGAACTAGTTCAGACAAAACCTTTTCGTTGAACAAAGTACGATCAGAGTTATGTCTCTCGGTGTCCAAAACTACTGAATGGAGAGCCGTAAGAAAGAGCAGCAGCATTGTCAGGGCAGCAATGGAGAGGGCTTCGAGGCTTACCGACCACCAGAGGAAGGCACGACTTGAATTTGCGAAGTTGAATTGGGGATGAGGTCGGACGATTGTCAGCCTGTCTCATCGATTAGCCATACAGTCCAATACTCTCGTTCAGGTCGTATTTCTGGTGAGAAAAAATTGATTTTGAAAGCTCTGATGGTCGACGAAAATAGCCGATCAAATATAGTCGTCGCAGTTTTGGAGGAGCAAGTGTCGTGGTACGGGTACCTTCTGCAAAGATGTCGAGCTAGAGTTCACTCTCATAACGTCTGGAATGGACTACAAGGACTTTCACAATGTCTTACAATGGCACTGTGCCATTTCTGAGCCGGCGACGTGGTCCTAACAACATTTTTCAACAGCACAGGCTTTGATTTACTTAGTCGTTATACGGAAGGCTGGTTCCTTTCCCAAAATTTTGAAGTTATGACATGGCCAGCCTGCAGCCTCGATCTGAACCCAATGGAGATTCTGTGGGGCATCATACTAAAAAGATCATGCAAACAACTGTCAGTTCCAAATGATAGAAAAGCTCAAGCAGGCGGAACTTAATCTTAGAATGAACTCTCCGGCTTTTCGTAACTATGTTTCGAGTATGTCATTCAAGCTATGATATTGGGCTAGTACAAGGAGGACTCATGGACTAATAAAATTTTTTGTCGTTACTAATGGTAATTTTTGCGTGCACGGGGGATATTCAGGGTTGTGAATCTGACAGTAGTGCTTAAAACTTATATGCTTGGCTGTTTATCCTGTAAGCACCAAGTTTGAGGGTGATCCTATACTTATGGAACACACTTATTGTAAGAATCAAATGCCAGACTAACGTCAGGCATTCCGCTCTGCCAGGAAAAGGACCAATGGGTGGACAGTCGGTCGGTTGTAGATCTACGAATTCACGTTGCTCAAAATTGATTGCCGATATAGACCAATTTTACTGCAGCTAACTTATCAGAACACCCTTTCTACTCCCTTGATTTCATGATTTTCCAAGCAGTGAGCAAGACACAAAGGCATATACTCACACATACTTTCAAATCACATGAAAAAAAGTATGAATGAGATCCTACTTGCAAAGATACAAGAGATCTTGAGTAGGGCGCACATTATTCTCAGACTTACATAGACCTTTTCTATAGTAACTTCGCGTTCATAACATAAAGGGTGTTATCTTCAAATTCAAGCTTTAAGGGAGTTTCCGGAAGGGAATTCATAAGGGTACAAATGTTGAACAACCAAAACTTTTTTGCAAACTCCGTATGCATGTACTATGCTTATTTTGGAAAAGCAATTTCCCCAGCGGCTGCTTTTATAGTCCGCCGGCCAACGTAAAACGAATTAGTTCGCAGGTAAGAAATCTATGTCTGCTGCATTTTATTTCACTTTCAGAACCCGACCGTAAAGAATCTGACCGTGCAATAAAATACAACAGTTCCAGATTTCTTACATGCGACCGAATTCGTATACGTCAGCACGCGCGCCGGCTCACCACGCCGGCTCACCATCTCGCTCGCGCGCCGGCCGGCGGACTATGAAAGCAGCCAGTGTCACCCGAACATTCTTCCAGTGTTGTCCTCAACTGGAGAGTGATTTCTTTTCTTTCATGTAAAAGAAGAGCTATTCACCAACCGAAAGTCGCCTTATTTTTAATTGAAATTTTGTATTCCCTAGGAACCTCTTTCACTCAAGTATCTGTAGCTCGGTTACGAGGGTACGTGAGGCGGTCCACCGTGACCGGCAGAGAAATGAAGCCATCGATACAAGCCCAGAAACGAAATAAGATTCGGAGATGGACTCCTAGTTTTTGCCATGTTAAGTCAATTCATAACTTGGATCTTCACTGTGTCTTGTCTTGTTTTGTTTTTCGTCCTTATTTCAGTTGTTGTTGAAGGACAACCATCCTGCAGTTTCTGATTTTGTGTTGCATGACACACCCTTGGCTGCATTTCGTTAAACTTCTTGATAGGAAGTCCATCGATTCACGGTAGTTAAAAGGGGCATTCGGAGACACCTGCTCTTTCAAGGAATCAAGATCAGGAAGGTCGTTCTCACCCACAAAGAATCGAAGATCAGGGGCAGAGTGGGGGGGGGGGGAGAGGGTGGACATGTCACACGATATTGTGATGAGTGATGAACGAATATTAGACCAGAGTGGTTACGTACTGAACCTTCGAGGCGTCAAAGAACACCGGACGACCACCAGTTAGGTAGTCAGACTTTTCCACTAAAGCTCCGATGGAAGGAACACAATGCCTCCTGAACTTAGAGCGAGGACGACCCACTAGACCACATTGACTTCAAATAAGGACGAGTGGACATGTTACTTTGGCCTGCTTGAAGTAACGCTTGATTATCAGTTTGGTGTACCTAATTCGAGGCGATTGATGGGGGTGATGGCCCAATATAGGGCCGATGTCATAAAAAAAATAGGCACATTTAGAGAAATATAAGGCTTCAAAAAAGTAACAAAATTAACATTAACATAAATGTAAAGCTTGAAAGAGAATGTGGCGGAAAAAGCTGC